GTTTGAAAGACCTCATCTAATGAAGTCAACGCTCTATCCCCCTCGTGATGTAATTTAAAGCCCCAATTACTTTCATCACGAGTTACAAAATCGTTTTTAGTGCCTAGAATACTGCAATGAAGTGGACTATATGAATGATAAGCTTGTGGAAACTGTTCATGCGATCAGAGCTAAGTTCGTAAGACCTTTCGCAGAAGAACACAAAATTTCTCCGATCACACTCTTAATCTCATGGCTGTTAGATGAGAGTTGAAGCTGTAGTCTTCTACAGATTAATGTATGACAGCATACAGGCAACTGAACAGGTAGATCTCCAAATGCATGTGGCGGTGCTTACGTAACTTCAATACAGCTCGTATTGAAGAAGCAATCGAGAAGAAACAGGGCTCCAAAGTCTTTGCCAGAGATCTGGCTGCCAAAAAGAGCCAATTGTCAAAGCTGAAGATCGAGTGTGGCAGCATCGTTTCCGGGACACCTGGGATTTTGAGTGAGATTGAGAGGTTCTATGATAACCCGAATGTCAGTCCTCCAAGTAGAATCGCTCTCCAACACCTTATAAACGGCAAGACCCCGGGCGAGAATGGAATTATTGAGGAGAGCGTAGTTTCAGAAGTTAGCTCTTCAGAAGCTCTTCAATTGCGTCCTTCATGGTGGCACTACTCTGGAGGCGTAAAGCAGAAGTTCTGTGGCCTTGTTCTTCAAGAAACGCGACAATGCCCTCTTGAAGAAGTATAGACTGATTTCCCTTCTAGCCACGTCTATGTGCTGTTTTCGAGACTCATTACGAATCATCTCGCACGCAGACTCGACGACTTCCCGCCTCCCGAACAAGCTTATTCCCGAAAGGCCTATAGTACTATAGACCACATACATAACCTCCGGCAAAATGTACAGAAGACCGAAAAGTACAATCTGCCACTTTGTCTTGCATATGTGGACTATGAGAAAGCCTAAGATTACGTGGAAATTAGTGCGGTGTCCCTTCAGCGGTGCCAAATTGACTGTCGTTATGTCGAAGTGCTGTAGAGTACAGCTGTAGTGTTTGTACAGTAAGGCTACGATGGCTATCCGAATACAGAACCAGAGTACGAAACCGATTCAACTGCAGAGAGGTGTAATATAGGTGACGTTATATTATATATATTTTTTAATAGAAGAGAGGGCAAACGAGCATACGGCTCACCTGATGGTAAATGACTACCGCCGCCCATGAACAGCTTCAACACCATCACCAACAGATTACTGATTCGTTGCTGGCCTTTTAAAATAGGAATAGATTCTTTTCTTGAAGGTCTCTAAGTCGTATCGATCCAGAATAATCTCTGGTAGTAGTTGATTCCACAAGGGAATTGTGCAAAGAAGAAAACTTGTTTTAAATCGCTTAGTGGTGGATCGCCAGTCATCCAGATGGTATGGATGGTATCGCGAGTTTTGTCGCAATATTATCAAAATCCTTCACCGCTGCATTGAAAGACGTTTTCAATCTATTGGACTGGAAGGGAATACGGTATTAACATCAATGGCAAATACATCACTCACCTTCGATGTGCCGACAATATCGTTATTATGGCAAAATCGCAGGAGGACCTAATTAATATGCTCAATGACCTCAATAGTGTCTCTTAACGGATAGGTCTTAAGATTAACATAGACAAAATAAAAGTCATGTGGAATGTCCATGTCACACCTATGCTGCTGGGTGTTGGGAGCACTAAGTTCGAAGTTGTTAATGAGTAAACATACTCATTAAAAACTTCGAACTGGGACCTGGAACCTGGGACAAATAGTCCGACTAGGTAAGTCCAATTGCGACCAAGAGGTCAATCGACGGATTCAACTCGGCTGGGGAGCGTTTGGGAAATTACAACACATCTACTCATCAGGCATACCTTAAAATCTCAAAACTAAATTGTACAACCAGTGTGTTTTGCCAGTGAAGATCTATGGATATGAGACGTGGTCTTTCAGTGCTGGCCGTATGAGGAAGCTCAAAGTCTCTCAGCGAGCTATGGAGAGAGCTCAGGGTTTCTCTGCGTGATAAATTTAGGAATGAAGCCCAACGGATTAGTAAGCTGAAGTGGCAATGAACCGCCCATATAGCTCGAAGAACCGAAAACCGATGAGGAAGAAAGGTTCTCGAGTGGCAGCCTCGTACAGCAGGCAAAGTGTAGGGCTTCCCTCCACTATATTGAGTGACGACCTGGTAAGATATGCAGAAAATCGATGAATGCAGGTGAATCAGGAACGTGGTTTGTGGGAGGCCTATGTCCAGCAGTGGAATTGTGAAGGGCTGTAATGATAACGAATGATGATGATGATGAGTTACCGCATCCATTTACTATTAGGTCGATGGTTAGTAAAAAAAGAAAATATTTGTGACCTTTTTTCTAAGATATTCCAATCGGCGACGCGGACCAGCGCCAAACGTGCGATATGTACTGTGAAGTGGTGAAAGGTTTTGTCTTATTGCAATATGATTTCTCAACATAGTATAAATCAAAGTTTTTTAAACTACGCAACGGATTTTGATGCGGTTTTTTAATAGGAAGGTTTATTTGTTTAATACATGCTTATATGTTGTCGAGATTCAAAAATCACCCGTGCGAAGCCGGGTGAATCGCTAGTTTATAAATAATTTCCTATTTCTGTTTAAAGGAATCTGATGGTAATCCAGCGGTGATCCAGACAGCATCCTGGTATCTAGACTCGGTCTTGAGCATCTGTAGCGTTTGGCCGGAGCAGTTGCAGCAGGTTGCAGCCGCTTGCTTCTGGATCGCTCAAAAGCTTCACGGAAACGTGGCCTCCGCTTCTATGCTAATTATATGTGCAAACGGAGCCTTTAGTAAAACACAATTATTGAGGGCCGAAGAGGCGATCTTAAAGAAATTGGTATGTCACAGTAACTACCCTTGCCTCCTTGACTAACAGTTACCAGACTTTAATTTAAACTTCTACTTTAATAATTTTACTTACGACCTGTGGTTGGTGTAAGAGGCGACTATATATTTTCCACCTGTGAGTGATATATGAGGCGACTGAGATATCTGATGGCTTATGGCTAAGGTGGAAAACAATCTCATTTATGTAAAACATAAAATACTTAGGCGAAGTGGATCAACGTCAAAGGCGCGAGACATCTGGTACTACCATCGTCAATTCGCGTACTAAGCGTGACGATTAAGTATGGCGAACAATATCGCCAACAATGTGAGAAAGTTCCCATGTTCAACAGTGAACTTTTAAGGGCTGATGAAGAAGTAATTATTAGGATATATTTTTTTTAAAACGTTACCCCTACACTAGGATTTTCTCCTGTATCGTGGGGGCAGTTTACAAACATAAATTGCACAAGGACAAACATCCAGACCCGGAACAATTACTTGTAGGCCATATAAATACTTGTTCCGTGCGGGATTTGAACCCGCGACTCCCAGCGCAGCCACTCATTGCTAAGCCACTACGCCACGGAGTCGTCAAAATATATTTTGAAGGGTTTTATGAGGAGGCTATTGGAATTTAATAGGCAGTAATTAATGTCCTCCAGACCGAATTTCGGCCACGGCGGCCAGCCACAACGGAGGCTAGCCATCGGCGCAGGACAGGATTATAGTGCCCAAGTGTATGCGCAAGCGGAAGGATAGGCCCATCTAAATATTTTATTCGTAACTTTTTCATACAAGAAAAAGTGGCGTATCTGTCATAATACAAACGTCATATCATAACACGACTTGACCAGGGTCGGTTTTCGTAGTATAATTATCCTAATTATATCATTATTTTATAGTTTGTAGTATATAGTATCGTAATAATACTAAGCGTAAATACCATAATTTTACCTAAAGGTCGACTTATACTATTATCGGGTCCTATTACTTTTTAATATTAACCATCGAGAAATTACATACATAAGTACACAATTTACATTACATAAGTACCGCGTTTTTTTAATAAATTAGATTATTAGTTTAGATATTTAATTAGAATTAGCTCCCTTACTGGTCAATCGGTGCTCGACCGATGCATTTATGTTGCATCCTTGAAACAACTATGTTGAGGGGCTACCACGATAAAAACTCTATGCTCCAGAGCTAATCAGTTTGAAAACAGAATTACAAAATATTTTATTAATCAGAGTTTCAGATTCAATTAAGCAGATATGGTTTCTTTTGCACTCTTTTCTTCTTACCCTTATTGAATATAGAGAGATAATTATTGAGAATTTCTTGACGGAAAAACTCAATAATTATTTAAATAATAAATCTCTTATAGTAATTAATAAATGTCATATTAATATTATGTTTAATATCGATGGCAGTAAAGAACAAAAAGTCAAATACAAAATCTACGATTCTCACCTTTTTACACCATACATCGAATTGGGAAACTTCTATTGTACAAGAAAGTAAAAATTTATTGCGTGTTATTATTACATTATATCCTCAAAAAAAACTTCATCAGTATGTTTTCTAAATACCATGTGAATGGTTATATAAAAAATCAATGATGATTACAGAATATTATTTTTTCATAGTTTTTATTTTAATAGATAGATTTGAATTGTTATGATTTTTCTTATTTATGTGAAATAAACCAGATTTTTAAAAGATCATTACTGTCATGAAGATTCTGAAAAATGTATGTCCGCCGTGTGTCCTTTTCTACTACTGATCGATTTTAAGTTTTCTTTCTTTTGTGTGTATTTAATTGTCCAGTTGTATGTGATTGCATGATACAATTGGTGGAGAATAAAGTTCATGGAGTGGCAACCTAGGACCCCTAGCCAATAGAAGGCGTGACACAACCTGATAAAACATGTAGTTATGCCTCGATGGATGCAAGTACTTTCGGGGTGGTCAAGTTCTGTATTAGACTTGTGATGGACTGTAGAGTAGTGATAGCGACACATGAATCAAAATAGTTTTAATAGCGTGCACAAATTTTATATATTATTTTCAACACATTTTTCAAATTTCCATTCGCCTCAAGATTATATTACATACATGTCCTGGTGGTTAGATGACGCTCATTCCGATGAAATTGAAATAGCGGCGGTCTTTCTCTGCTTATGCGGTTTAATGGTAAATAAAACACTCTGCAATGAGTTACCGTCAGTAATCGCTGCAGCTTGCGTACGAGACGCCTTACTGCTGCTGGGGAAACGGGACTTGATGCTGCGTCTTGAGACAAGTCCAGTGTGAGTAACATTATTTATAAAACTTTTTTTATAATTATAAAAACCTTATACCATGATATTAAAGCTTGCTAACTATGCAAGTCATTTGCTAGAAGATTTTTTAAGTTGTGCGACACACTAATCAGTATGAAATGCGAAAGATGAAATCGATTTAACTATGATTTTGTTAAAATTGGTCCAGATAAAGTATGTGGTATTTTTGCAGGAGAAGTTTCATCATCACTTAATACACCTCAAACAAAATTAAAAGGTCACATCCATCAGTCCATCCACTACAGACTATAAAATTCTACTGCTAAACATATGTCTCGCTTATAGAATATCTCATATAGAGGATTTTGCCATAGTTGCCACGCTAGTAAGGCGGTTTGGCAACCGCAGTTGTTTATGATTTGGAGTTGTTATCAGTAAGATGCTGCTGCCCATTTCCTGTTTCCGTTTTCTTCTACCGTCTCTTACGTTACCCAGCGCACGATTCGGAGGAGTGGACTCTCACGCCACCACTACATGGGGAAGGAAAAATGAAGCAAAAAAACGTCACACAAATAGAGAACTAATTTTCACACATATATAGTATAAAAGTTGGGATTTGGATGTCTGATGGTGTTTGACCGATATTTTCAAATAAAAATGAGGAGACGTCAGTATGTTTAATATTTTATTATTATGAAAATAATTAAGAAAAGCACCAAAATTTTATTAATCATAGTAAATTTTTCGTATTATTAAAATATTAAACACACAAGATGGAGTGACGACCTGGTAGTCGATGACCAGGATGCAGTTGGCTCAGGACTGTGCTTTGTTGCATTCTTTGGTACTCTATGTTCAGCAGTGGACTTGTGAAGGGCTGTAATGAATGAATGAAAAAGGGAATTTTACATAAAATATCTAAGTGAGTTTACAAATTTGTAAGGTTAAATTGTAATAGACTTTATACCGGTAACGAGAATGTAGTGATGAGGTCACAGCTACTTCATTCCTATTCATTTGTCGTCCCTAGTCCTTGAGCTTGGTGTCAGAAAGACCATGTATTGTCTAAAGACATATGATTCAATGATATCCGAGGCATAAGGCCACAAAGACACTTGTAGGGAAGGCTGAGATTATGTCTAGATGCGGGATGTCCTGAAAAACTCGGGACTGTTGGCAAACCCAATCATATTCCTCATCAATACTTAAACTGTTGGAGATCGGGATAATTTTACTTAACATCATCCTTAGAAGTCAAACTGACGGCCACTATAGAACTCAGAATTTGCTTTGAATTTGTTTTGCTTTGCTTAGTGCTTTGAGGCGGCCACTGTACTAGGCAACTCAATAAGAGTAAGAGCTCGTGAACCCCAGACCTTCGTTATTTTATAAAAGCTGAAAGTTTGTCAGCACATGCTCCCAACACAGGTAAGAACGATGGACCATTATGAAGTTGAAGAAAGGTGTGTAAAATATCGATCTAAATTCGTCAAATATATTATTCATTGCCAGACCCTTAACATTGTGGCAACCCCTTGCCAGACACCCTTAATGCTCATGAAATTGTAATTCTACTTACGTTATACTATAAAAGCTGATTTTATATAAAATACTTGCGCAATAAGTAAATGATGATCCCTCATTAGCCAGACATTTTTGATAGCTCCAACCCCTTGCCAGACAAACATGTAGGGTAGCTGTAGGAGCGAGCGCGAGGCAGTATGTACATAGGTGGGTGCGAGTGAGATGGCTAGTTAAGTCTACCGCGATCCCCCACTACTAGAAATGGCGCTAATGGTTAAATTTATTTATTTGTTAAAAGTTATTTGTTAATTTTTTTAGCAGATAAAATTAACAGTTAAAATTATTACTTACTTTTGTTGTGAATTTTTATTTCAATCGGTTGTGTTAATTTAGTATTAAAGCACAGTTAGGCTAGGCGTATTTAAAGGTTTATTATGTAGTAAATTTTTTATCATTTACAATGATTATTAGGTATTTAGTATTTACTAAATGTAAAAAACATTACAAATTTTTTAAGATGTGACGTCTCGGAATGATAAAAGGTGAAAATTAAACTCTTAATAAAATCTTATAGTTTTGTACACTACACTCAATAATACTAAATAATATAAAAACTAAATCTTAATTAACTTCTCCTGTATTTATTTTTACAACTTTTTATATATCTTCAATATATTGATATTCCAAATCTCTTGTAATATTTTGACGCAGAAGAACACAATATCAAATGGAGTAAGAGTGACGAAGAAAATGACAACATTGGTGATGATAATGATAATGAATGGAATAATATTGTCTTTTATACTCTATAATAATATGCAACGTCATCAATCTTTTTTCTTATCCTTTATAATAACTGTCTGGGTGACAGGCGTGAGTGTTTATATATGATAATGATAATTAATGGAATAATATTGTCTTTTATACTCTATAATAATATGCAACGTCATCAATCTTTTTTCTTATCCTTTATAATAACTTGTAGTACCTGTCATTAACCTATTTTAACTAAATTTTTGAGAAATATTTTATTTGGCTTTTTTAAACCTGTTATTGAAAGAATAAATTAAAATTTTTAACAATTTAAGGTAGTGGTAGCATCGAATGTCTTTTCGTAAGAGGTTTTGAAAATTTACATAGATTATCATTATCAGATATAAATCTGCGCCAAAAAGTTTATTTGCATAAGTCATTCTAATCCATTGAACTAAATACATAGTATCTCGATGTTATAATCACGAATATCTTTTTAAGATTTACAATGTTTCTCTGGCAAAGGGTTGGAACCATCAAAATGTTTGGCTAATGAGGACTCATCATCTAATTATTACCCAAGTATTATATATTAAAATCAGCTATTACGTAGTGTAATAAGTATATACGTAAATAATAATTAATATTATTCTAATCATTAACAACGAATATAAATGAATAATACATGAAGATAGCATTTATTATTGTTTTACTTGATGTAAACATGTATTAAAATATACTAAATGTCCATGTCGGAAACCCATGTCGGAAAACGAAGTTAGAAGAAAGATAATGTTATTAAAAAATACTAGTTCTGCAGGCTATGATGACATAAGTACGAAAATTCTAAAAAATTGTATCGACGAAATAATAGGAATCTTGACCCATTTAATAAACCTATCATTTTCGTGTGGAACTTTTCCAGATCCATTAAAGTTATCCATTGTCAAACCACTATATAAAAAAGGAGAGAAACATATCGTCAATAATTATCGCCCAATAACATTGATACCTATTATGTCCCAAAATTTATGAAAAGTGCATGTACAAAAGAATAATCGAATTCTGCAACAAATTTAATATTATAATTAACGAACAATACGGATTTCAAAAAGACAAATCTACTACGTTGGCCGTTTTTTCTCTCCTAAAAATAATCCTATCAAATTTAAATAATAATCACTTAACTACAGGGCTTTTCTTTGACCTGTCTAAAGCTTTCGACTTAGTTTCACACGACCTCCTGCTACAAAAACTTGAAAAGCTTGGGATTAGAGGGCCCACTCTTCAATGGATATCTTCATACCTCAGTAACAGACAACAATGTGTTACAATTATGAAAATAGATGAAAATAAGGATTTCATACCGTACTCGTCTGAATATAGACTCAATAGGTATGGCGTTCCACAAGGAAGTGTGCTTGGTCCTATTTTATTTATATTATATATAAATGACATTGTTAATATAACAAATCATAAATGCATATTATTCGCGGATGATATTTCAATAATTGTGACTTCTAATAAAAAAGATAATACTATTAATGACCATGAGACTGACATAAATAACACTATAGATAAATTAATTGAATGGCTTGACATAAACAATTTAAAAATAAATCTTGACAAATCTGTATATATACAATTCAATAAATGTAATAATAAAAAATATAATATTAATCTCAACATACCAAAAATAAAAGCAGTAACAAATACAAAATTTCTAGGAATAAATATAGATGAAAATTTTAACTGGAAATTGCAAGTAAACGATGTATCTACGAGATTAAATAAATTTGCATACGCCCTTAAACATTTAAAAAACGTTACCAACATAAAAACGGCTGTTCTGTCCTACCATGCATACGTCGAGTCAATACTGCGCTATGGACTTGTAATCTGGGGTAATAGCACGGATCAAAATAGAGCATTTCGCGCACAGATAAAATGTATTCGAGCAATATGTGGGCTTAAACCAACTGAATCATGTCAACTGGTGTTTAAAAAACTTGACTTATTACCCCTACCATGTCTTTATATTTATGAAATATGCATGTTTGTATGGAAGCATAAATATTTATTTAACACGGCGGATAATGTAAACCCTAGGATGCGGCGAAACCCATACAAACTCATATTAAGTGACAGTCCTAGAATAAGTAAATATAATAAAAGCTGTTTATCTATGTGTGTACGTTTATATAACAAGTTACCAAATAATATTAAAATGTTAAATACTAGATTATTTAAATCAAAATTACTGGAATACCTAGTTAAGAATAATTTTTATAGCATTATGGACTATATTAATCATAAGTCTTAATGCACGATAAAAATCTTTTGCATGCTATGTTCTCTCTAGCAAAACATGTTGTTCGAATGTATATTTGTAAAATCTTTTTCATGCCATGTTTTAAGCAAATAAATATATTATTATTATTATTATTAAACAATACAAGCGCATCTCACTCGCACCCACGTATGTACATACTGCCTCGCGGTCGCTCCTACAGCTACCCTACATGTTTGTCTGTCAAGGGGTTGGAACTATCAAAAATGTCTGGCTGATGAGGGATCATCATTTACTTATTGCGCAAGTACCTATTATATGTAAAAATCAGTGTTTATACTATAACGTATGTAAAATTACAATTTCATGAACATTAAGGGTGTCTAGCAAGGGGTTGCCACGATGTTAAGTGTCTGGCAATGAATAACGTGATTTTTAATAATATTCTGAAGGTTATATAAAAAAATCGCACTTTATTTAGTTCCCCTATACTTTCTTTAACTTCAAAAGTCTTCGAAATATCAAAGACATGTGAAGTTTGCCAATACGCGTTGGGGCAGCGCGGCGGACACTTCCCTACCTTATAAAATGAGGGGTGGACTGTGTACATCAGCGGGACTTATATAGGCTGTAATTTTTTTACATAGTGTAAGGAACATTAAATTTTTGGCTTTTTATAAAGAAACAATTCAACTATAAAATATTTTCAGATTCAAAGCAGCAAAAAATAAGACGACGGATATGTGTTCCATTTGCTCAACATTGCGTACAGCGGTGCGTATCGTGTCGAACTCGTACGAGTACAAGACGCCAATGGAAATTTTTGGAACTGGCCCTCATTTTATAGCACAAAAGATTGTAAAATGCGCATACGACCTCGAAGTTTCGGAAGTCCAGTGTACAAGGAATTGAGGAAAAATTCTCACTATAACGTGCAAAGACTACTTGGTTATGTTTTGGAATAGTTAATGAAATGTAATAGTATAGTGTTTTTTTGTACACTTTCCTCTTAAAAATTTTCCATGTTTAATAAATTTAACTAATATTCGATTAAGAACTATATACATATTTATTAAAATAGGTTAGGTAGTTCAGTTTCTATAATTTGTTAACTAAACGTGATAAACTCATTTGTAACTATTCTATATTTATCTTCCGATTTTTTTTAATTCATTTTATAATTGCAAAAGCCTGTGTAATATATTATCCTTTTATTTTTTACAAAATTGTGTTAACAGAAATGAGAATTTATATCAAAAAATAATTGAAAGTCGCCTAAACTCACATGTATAGTTTATAAAGATGTTTAAGTAATTATTATGTAAAATTAGTTTTTAAATCAAATAGTATTAAATAAATGTGGTTATATTAAATAAAATAGATGACTTGATTAATGTTTTTACTTTTTTATTACTTTTTTACGCCGATAAGATAAAAGATAATATAAAGATAAGGCCGACAGGTGAAGATGTTTATTTTGTAAAACATTGGAAAAAAAATGTTGCAGATAGGCCTTTTCAAAGTTCCTTTTAGAAGTAAAAAGTTATTGAACTCGCTTTTTTGACGCTGCTCACCAACATCATCGTGACCATAGAATACTATAATACACAATAGAATGGCTGTTAACCTTATTTTGTAGTTTGTACCGAGGTTCGGCGTCGCCGGGAGCACACATACAAGCAATTACGTCGTATTATAAGTTAATCACTACTACAAGCCCGATTCGCTGTGTTGACAGACGGATTTTAATACATATTTATATGCAAATAGCGTGCAGTTTGGCATTATCTAAATAATTTGCATACGAAATTTGGAAAGGATTGTAACGTCAAAACACATCTCGTGTTGACATTTATACGTGTGAATTAACGTCTTGTGGCATTTTAGTAGCTACACGGGCTCCGCCCACACTCCCGTTCTATTATGTATATATTATTGTATTCTATGGTCGTGACCGTCGTAATTTTCTAAATGTCAATGTCATCGGTGTGAGTAATTTACGTCTGGCTTAAACGAGTTAATTCCATTGCTGTGTATTTTTTCGAAAGCTTTCTTTCTGGTGATTCCTATACTCGCCACTTACGACACTCACGAAGCAAAATAGGTTCACGAATTCCCTTATCCTTCCATCACACAGATATTCTTATTCCACCAGCAAATACCTCTCCAACTTAACATTAAGATTCAGAGTGTCTAGTGAGAGGCCGATGGTGCGTGCTTAGTGAGTCATCGGTGACCGTTGCCAAATTTCGCCCTCGCAATCCCTGAGATATTACTAAAAAGTTGTCGCCCGGTCGGCGTAATGAAGTCAAAATCGTTTTGTCGAACCGTCGGCACTGAACCATATACACTTTCAGTAGAATAAAGGATTTATCTCTTTTATATAGGATAGGGTGACAAAGGAGCACACAGGCCACCTGATGATAAGTGATTGCTGTGGCCCAAAGACATCTAGATCTATCCTCATTTGCGAATCAAAATGTAATGTAGTAAATAAAATACAGTTTATGAGGGCCTACAATAAATAAATAGCAATATTAAAATAAATACGAAAAAACTTCTTCAAGCCGATAAACTTTTAATGGATGGCATTGACTTTTGACATGACTTGAACATAGAAAATACTCTTACTATTAGAGTAGTTTAGTACAATTTCGTGATATGCTTTTGAAAAAATCTCTTAAACGTTTTTTATAGAATAAGACTGACAAACGAGCACACAGGCCACCTGATGACAAATGGATGCTGTATCACATAAATATTTACATCTACATATCTTCCATTAAGATTTAAAATGCACAAGTGTTGTCAGCCGTGAGGAATAAGATGAAATGCCTCTTTTCCAGTAAAAAGGATCTCTGGTTCTTTACAATCACTTTACTAAACACAGCAGCATTAAGCTACTATTTTATACTGATATTCTGTGAGAGCGTGGTCCTTTTCCGGTCGAGCCGACCCATTCTTGCTACAACTATACTATTAATATAGCTGTGGCATAGTTCTACCACGTATAGTCTTATAGAATCCCTCCTCAAGGAAGTTAGTCAGCTATAGGGCACTAGTGTTCCATTGCCTTATCCTAAATTTTTGAAAAAACAGAATGGATACCCAAGCAATAGCGTGAGACTATAGAGCTTAATTACAGTTTCACCTGATATGCAACAAAAATGTATGATTCTAATTTTTTTTATTCACCGAATGATTATGTAATGAGATTGTACAACAAATTTAGTAGGTAATAACTGAAGCTGTGTAAGCTCAGAGGATAAGTGCTCGCCGTAAATTTTAAAATACGCGAGCAGTTCGCTGTCCATTGGTGCCGCAATAATTTCGTTAAACGACATTTTAAGATCTGATTCACGTAGCGCTCGATGGTGAAAGAAAATAATATCGTGAGAAAACCTGCATGTGTAAGGGATAAAATGATTCCAGTACAAACATTTTTTTATAGTATAGGTTATCGTTACGAACGAGCACACATTCCAAGTGATGTTAAGTGGATGCTGTGGCCCACAGAAATCTAAATTTATCTTCAATTTAAAATCAAAATGCAGATTTTTTGCCAGTCTTGAGGACTGAGATGGAATGCCATGTTTCCAATAAAAAGGTTTTCCGGTTCTCTACACTCACCATACGAAACACAGCACTATTAAGCTGCCGGTCGAGCCGAACCATTCGTGCTGCAACCAAAATATAGCTGCAGCAGTATAAGTGACATATGTGAAGTTCGCCAACACGCAATGAGGTGACGCGGCCGACGAATTGCTCCATAAACCTGTTTAGAAATGAGAGGCCTGTGCCCAGCGGTGGGACTTATAGGCTATAACTTTACTTTACTTTGTAAACTTTAACGCCAATATTATTAATAGTAATTACACGTAACTATTTCTACTTACTTATTATTAATATAAATCTAAATATATTCAAGATATTATGTACACATGAGGTAAACAAAAAACCGGCTGCTGTGGAAAAACCAAAACCAGATATTATGTCTACTGTCAACTAAGGTTACTGTTCTGAAGGAAAAGCAGTTTTATCACTATGTAACAATTTATTTTCTCTTGAATATATTTTGATTTCAATAAAGCTGAGAACTGTGGCGATTGTAGTCATAATTATTTTATAAAGGAAGTTAGTAGCAGTGCGCATCGGCGTTGTGTAGCTATGTGAGATTTATATTTGTAAACAGAGCTATTACAATGACATTAAAACGTAAGTAAAAACATCGTATTTAATGTGTTTTCTCATTGTTATCATCTTATATATACAATAACACTGCTGAACGATTGTAGTCATAATTATTTTATAAAGGAAGTTAGTAGCAGTGCGCATCGGCGTTGTGTAGCTATGTGAGATTTATATTTGTAAACAGAGCTATTACAATGACATTAAAACGTAAGTAAAAACATCGTATTTAATGTGTTTTCTCATTGTTATCATCTTATATATACAATAACACTGCTGAACGATTGTAGTCATAATTATTTTATAAAGGAAGTTAGTAGCAGTGCGCATCGGCGTTGTGTAGCTATGTGAGTTTTATATTTGTAAACAGAGCTATTACAATGACATTAAAACGTAAGTAAAAACATCGTATTTAATGTGTTTTCTCATTGTTATCATCTTATATATACAATAACACTGCTGAACGATTGTAGTCATAATTATTTTATAAAGGAAGTTAGTAGCAGTGCGCATCGGCGTTGTGTAGCTATGTGAGATTTATATTTGTAAACAGAGCTATTACAATGACATTAAAACGTAAGTAAAAACATCGTATTTAATGTGTTTTCTCATTGTTATCATCTTATATATACAATAACACTGCTGAACGTAGACATTCCCGAAGTGATGCCACATAGCTCGTCCTTGCATTCATCAATTTCCATTGTATTCATAAATATTTATCATTATTAACTGATGTTAGTTAAAATCTGTATTTTATTTTTTACGGTGTTAATATACATGTCTTTAGTTATACGGAATGCAAATTCTCAGACATCGCAGACTTCAATTATGTATCAACAAAACGTACCCGATATCTATAATAGGGGACAGATATGTTTTGAAAACTCTCCATCCGCAAATAAATTCAGGTTATACTATTAATTCACCTGACAACACGTTTTCTCGAAAATATGACAAAAATACAAGGAAAATTGTAGTTGACAACAGATTTGAACCTAATAACAAAGTGTCATACGGTCAACCACAAATACAAACACAACAACCGGTTTACCAACACACAGTGCAACCAGTTCAGAAGATTTATAGCGAAGACAATATACATAGTGATGGTACGAGAACCACAATAGCTGAAACTATAGATTAAGACATTTCATCCAAATTACAAATTTCGATAATAAAACTTTCACTATAACCAGCTTTGGCTTAAAATTGTTAAAGGTAAATGACTGTTAATGTAAAAAAAATATATTAGCCTAAGGTTTCTACAAAAATATTACTTTTTAAAAGTACTCCAAGTATTCTCCATGTCAATAAAATGTTAAATAGATTATTGGAATTTAAAATTGGAATCGATTCCCGAAGTAACGAAGTTAACTTGGAGTTCAAGTTAGTAAGTTTAAGTTCGTTAAGAAGAGCTGAAGAAGCTGAAGTAAGTAAACTCCATACTACCAGTAAGGAAAAAGGTTCTCGAATGGCAGCCTCATATCTGTAAGCGAAGTGTGGGACGACACCCCACTGGATGGAGTGACGTCCTAGTAACACATGCAGCAAGTCGATGGATATTTTTATAGAATAAGGGTGACAAACGAGCACACAGCCCACCTGATGGTAAGTGGTTACTGTGGCCAATAGACATCTAAATCTATCCTCGATTACGAATCAAAATGCAGATGCGTTGTCACCCGTGAGTACTAAGATGGAATGCCTCGCTCCGGTTGGCT